CTACGCCCTACGCCCTACGCCCGACGCCCGACGCCCGACGCCCTACGCCCTGCGCCCTGCGCCCTACGCCCTACGCTATATGCTCTACGCTCTACGCTCTACGCTACACTCCATTTTCCACCATCTACCCTCTACACTCTATGTATTTACGAGTTTATCAGTTCAAGAATTTTTGACTACTCTCTACACTAGCTTAGAGGCTTAAAAAACCGGTAGAGTGATAAAAAATATTAGGTTGCGAGTGCGAGTTTCTCGACCATCTGCGATGCTGTAATTTTTGTAATTGTAATTTATTGGCTTTCTTTATTATCTCATATATGTTACACCCGCTTTCAGTGTTACGTGCATAGGAGCCATCTTTCGACCATCTCTCGACATTCCATCTTTCGACATGCTACGTAAATGGCTGAAATACTTTTTGCCTGTGAAACTAGCAATTTTTCCAGTTATTAGCAGAACAAATGACAAGTATATGATAATTACTGACCTAAAATGAATGAAGAAGATTGTGGACTCCCAATTTACGGAATAATTCAAACGATTTTAGTGTAGTCGATCGGCTCTCAATAGTGACTTCCGGTACAATTGGGCCGCTACTGCTCAGTTAGTATTCGAAAGATGTAAACATTCAAAGCAGTCGATTTATCCCTCACAGAATGTTTTCTTGATGTTCCTAGCCTTAGTTTGATGTCAAATAAATCCATCTTCATGACTTAAAGTCGAGGTCGACCGTAAAGAAGCCGCTCGTGCTTACATTTTGATGTAGGCCAGGTTACTTAGCATGTCGAAAGATGGCATGTTGTGAGATGGTGTGGCATGTTGAAAGCGGGTGTAAAGTGTTATTAAAGTGTTATTAAGGTTTACAGTTTTTTAATAATCGTTTTAATGTACAATTCTGTATTGAGTTTACCCTGTATTGAGTCTACCATCTACATTCTACTCTCTATGTTCTACCAGCTTCTCTCTTCAATCTACGCTCTACGATCTACCATCTACCCTCTAAGCACATATACATTCCAGGTTCTACCAGGTACTCTCTTCGACCTACGCTCTGCGCTCTACGATCTACCATCTACCCTGTAAGCCCATCTAGGCTCTACTCTCCACGTTCCACCAGCTACTCTCTTTGATGTACGCTCTACGATCTTACCATCTACCATCTACCCTCTAAGCCCATCTAGGCTCTACTCTCCACGTTCCACCAGCTACTCTCTTTGATGTACGCTCTACGATCTTACCATCTATCATCTACCCTCTAAGCCCATCTACGCTTTACTCTCTACGTTTTACCAGCTTCTCTCTTCGATCTACGCTCGACTCTCTACAATCTACGATCTACCCTCTAAGCCCGTCTGCTTGGAAGGTTATTGGAATTTTTTTAATTTCTTGGACCTCTGATTCAAAGTTGGTAGCTACTCTCGGAGCCAGCGGTGCCAAAAATATCGCACTAGTTCTTGCACCCGTCTCCATCTCTTCTTGGGACTGAACTGGCCTCCTACTTGTCCAATCAGGAAATGATTTGGGGTGATGGGTGTTGGCAGGTCGGCAGGGTTCTGGTGTGTGCTAACATGACGCCACTGAGTAGGACTGCTTGAATCATGCATTTCTCCTATCCGATTCACTACCAATGATCTAAAATTGTGACTGGGTATTCGTATCCACCACAGCACATTCATGCTGTCACTCCAGAATGTGAGCAGGTTCTGGTCAATCTTAAGAACCTTGGCTATGGACAGGGCCAATCTTAATCCCAAAACAGCTCCCATAAGTTCAAGTCTCGGAAAGCTTGTAGCTGATAGTGGTGCCACTCGTGTCTTGGAGGCCACTAGGCTGGTAGATATTGTACCACCCTTGTACTTGTACCTTACGTAAGTTGCTGCACCATACACATCCCCTGATGCATCTGTGAAGGTGTGCAAGGTAACTGTTGCAACATCTGAGTTCGACTGCAGGCAACAAGGGACTTGCACTTCTGACAACTCTGTGAGCTCTTCAAACCACTTCTTGGCCTGTCTAGCTTGGCTTTGGTGTTGTGGGACGTCCCAATCTAATCCTGAGGTCCACATCTCTTGCAGTAGAATCTTTGCCCGGATCACGTGTGGTGCCAGAAACCCCATAGGATCAAACAGCATGGCTATCTTACGCAGGAAATTTCGCTTGGTCAACTGGAACTTCTCATCTGGCGGATTCACTCTGTGAGTGAAAACATCTTCCTTAGCCAACCACAACACACCAAGCGTCCTCATTGATGACAAATTTCCTTTGTTTAAGTCCACTTCGGCAGCCCTGTCTTCTTCAGGTATCTTCTTCAGTACTTGCTCTGATCGTGAGTTGGAAAGCCACCTTCTGGCATCCATACCTGCGGACCCCCACAGTGCTGATAGTTCCTCATAAAGTTTTGCTCACACCTCTTTGCTAGGGGAAGAGTCCATGCTCTCATCCATGTATGTAGACTCCAAGATTGTCTCGGCAGCTTTCGGGTATTGCCCTTGGTTTTCCCTTGCATGCTTCTGAGAAACAAACTGTGCTTGATAGGGGCACGAGTTAACTCCAAAGACAAGGCTAATGAACTGATTAACATCTGGAGGTCTTGACTGATCTACGTCCCTCCAGAAGAAATGATGGAATGGTCTACTTGAGGGTGATATCCAAATTCCAAGATACATCTCTGCAATGTCACACACTAGGGCTACTGGAAACTGTTACTGTAGCAGTACATCAAAGATATCCGTTTGGAGTTTTGGTCCTTGGCAGATGACGTCATTCAATGACAGTCCATCCAATTTTGCAGAGGCATCAAAAACCACCCTAGTCTTTGTAGTTGTCTTTTCAGGACACCAGGCCTTCTCTTCTGTCTTAGAGGGTGTCACTTTAGAAACGTAGCCCTTCTGTATGTACTTACTGATGACGTCTGAATACAACGCCGCTAGCTGAGGATCCTTCAGAAGTCTCTTTTCAGTGCTGATCAACCGTTTGTTTGGAAACTCGGGGGCGTTTGGTTTCCACGGCATGTCTACTTCATATCTTTCCCCTTTGAACTGCACTGAGCTCTCAAATGCTTTTATTGCTTCAGCTTCCTCTTTTTTCAACAACTCTCTTTCTGTGATTGACCCAGATGAGTCGACCTCCCAAAACTTCTGCAATACGGAGCTTGATTCTTTCTCTTGCTGGTGAACGAAATGGGCCATGTTGAAATTTGTCTGCTGCACGCTGTCCTCTGTCAGCTCAGGTGAAACAGTACACGTCCAGCCTAAAGGTGTCAGTCGAGCCACCGGCTCCCCAGGTTGGCCACAGTCATTTCCAATGGAAAAGTGCAATTCGGCATAGTCTATGCCAATCAACATGTCAATGATTGGCCGAGGGCCAAGATTGGGGAAGCTAACACCTTGCAGGTGCTTCCACTTTCCCGATTGCCGTTTCCAGTTAATTGGTTTCATGTTCCCAGTCACCCATATTGCTGTAAATGATGAAATTCTTGCACGAGTCTTGCCATCGATACTCTGCAGGTCGAACTCCACTGGCATGGTTTCAAAGGAATCTTCCTCTCTATTTAACACAGTAACTATGATCCGTTGGGTACTTCTTCCAGTCCTAGCTCAGCAGCCACATCACCATTCATGAAGGTCTTTGTGCTTCCGTCATCAAGTAAGGCATTTACGATCATTCTTTGCTCCCCATTCTTCACCACTACACGTACTGTACACAAGGCGAGATACTTTGCTGGCTCTGGAGCTTTTGTGGTTGCCATGGTTGTTGTTAAGGAGTGTTCAGTACGTGGACTTCGCTCCCCCTCCATGCCAGAACTGCATGCACTGTTTTCACTAGCTCCCATGTCCAAGGGTAGGCTCCTCTCTGGCTCTATCACTTGTGACTTGCTAGCACTTCCACCATTTACAAACTGATCTCCATGCATACCCGATTGTGCGCTTTCTGACAGCCATTAATACCACTCCGACTAATTTGAGTACATCACCCTCTCTTGTGATTTCTTCAGAGGCAACGGTCTGAGCTGTTTAGCCTTTTGCCAATGACTTTGCACATCCAGTTTCTTAAACTCTTCGCAGCTTCACACTGGATGATCTTTTTTACAAAGTGGGTAATTTGTGCCAACAGGCTTTCCTCAGCCGCTTGTCCGACCAAAGAATGTGTGTGAGCGATCACTTCGTTTTCCTATCAGCCCACATAGTGTCTCTGCCGCAACAGTCTGGAATTCACCTTCTTGCATGATCCACTCACGAAGCGTCTCAACACATTCCACTTTTGTCTCCTCAAACAACCACCGGTTGTAATTAGCAAGCATGGTATTGGTCATTTTTTTTGTACCTTCATGTACAAGGACCCATTGCCAAGTTCCTCTTTTCTTCTGGCCTCTTTCAGATGTATGACAATCACGTCCAGTACGTCTGCCAACCTGTCTAGGTCCTTGGCTTCTCCAGGACAAATTGGTCGGAACTGGTCCAATTCCTCTAAGTGCAAATTGATCTGACAACATGGACTACCGAATTTTCTCGCCAATCTGTCCTTAGCTGCTTCATAGGCCTCGGCCGAATGTCCTAAGCTCTCAACTGCTGCCAACGCTTCTCCAGATAGGTACTTCTTTAGCTGCAACAATTTATACTCTGCAGTGGCTGGCGCTTTGTCAACACAAGCCATAAATGGTGCCTTCCAGCTCCCATATGACTGCTTGTCTCCACTAAGTACCGGAATAGAAACCCTGGTCAATTGTTTCCACGTCTTTCCCGTGCTCATGTTTCCGTGATTCCTCAACAGTCTTCTCGTCCTCTTCTGGCTTAATATCCCTTTTTGGCGGGCGTGGAGGCGACAACTCAAGCTCCTCGTCTATGGCACCTTCAAGCTTCGAATATTTCTCTTTGCAATCTTCTTTTGCAGGGGCTAATTTCTCCTTCGCCTCTCTAACTTCGACTTCTATTTCTTTTTGACAACGGGCATATTCTTCCTCCATTTTCTTTTGAGCACGCTTGACAGATTCTTCTTTTTCGCGTAATTGCTCCTCGAGCTTGACGCTTATTTCATGGTTACTCACCACTCCATCTTCTAATAAATCCGCCAGCTGATTTTTTTCGTCTTGTGAATAGCAATTTCGACTTGGCTTTCTTGATCTTTTGCTCTTCTATTTTATCTGCAATTTCATCGCAGGGTATCTTCGCCATCGTCTGTGCCCGTCGCTCAGTCGCGGCGCTTCCTCTTCAGCGAATTTCCCCAACGTGAACCTCACCCTGCTACCAGTATGGTTCTGAATTAAACCATTTATTCGAACTTGAAATTAACAGCAATCTCTACGACTAATTACGACTCTAAAAACTAGTAAACAACATCTCCACGTGGTCGCAAAGCATCCACTAAGCGTTCAAAGTCACGTGACCTAAGTATTCGCACTTTTTTAGTACACTATTTAAGACATAGAAAACATGTACCATGTTTCTATTGGGTTATAGAAACACGAGTGGAAGTTTGGGAGAACGAGAAATGCACAGTTTCCACAGCTTTTTCGAGTTCTCCCAAACTTTCAGGAGTGTTTCTATAACTCGATAGAAACATGGAGAACATGTTTTCTATTTCTTTTAGAGAACACTGCGACGAAAAAAAGGAAAACAACTTGTTAACTTTGATTATCAAAATGTAAATTCTCTTTGCTTGCGCCATCATTACGTGAACAGCTCGTGCTAGTTCTGTGTTTCTATCGAGTTTTAGTATAAATCTACTAGCTTTGTATTACGAATGCTGTTCTATGATTGGCTACGCTACTCACTACCTATTCGGTGATAGATGGTGAGTAGCATAGCAGTGTGCGATAGAAATCTTGAGCTCATAATCTAATTGCTTAATAGAAACACGATTTTTAACCAATCCGCGTGCGTATTTTCTCAGGCCTGTTTTCTAAAACAAAATGTGCTTCACATCAGCTAGCATGACTACAGTTAAATGTAGATTTAAAGACTGCCATTCTACCGTTGCGGGATTTACGTTTTAGCGAAAGCCATTTAGTTCTGTTACTGTATTTAACCTCCGTGAATAAAGGAAGTAAAAACCCATCTGGGTAACCGCGAAGCTGGAGGTGCTTCCAGAATTTCTCGCGTTTCGCTAAAGGCTTTAAACGTGGAGCTATTTCTAGTATAGCATATGAGCTCGCCTCTAATAACCGCCCTCTTGTTGCTCACGGGATGAAACGACTCAAAGGGAATGTACAGATACTTATTTAGTGGCTTTTGATGGGTAGAAAACTGCAGAGTGCTAATATTAGCATCTTTGCAAAGAAATAAATCGAGAAACGAAATACTACTTTCGTCAATGACATAATACGTAAGTTTGATACGATCATTCTTGCTACAGAGACAACTAAGAAACTCTAATAGGATTTCTTAGGGACCCTTCCAAAAAAAAAATTCCTTTTCTAATGTTTTAATTTTTTAATATATTTATAACATTTTTTTTATTTTTTCACTTTTTTTATATTTTGGGGGCCATACGGTTAACGCTAATTGTATGTCCCCCATAATATAACAACAGGCAAGAACATGTGCATTAAGGCGTTTCTTATAACGTCCGTTTACAGCATGTTTCAGCAGCTATTCACTTCCTTGGGAAGTTAAACTTAGGCACGCTTAAATCATTCCCTGAAGAAGTCTCAGATAGAGACGAAGCGTGTCGGAAGTAAACGAAAAAGCTTACAACCACAAGACGTCCTCCTTTGTGCTGCTCACTAGTCTTCGTTAAGAAATTAAAAAATTTAAAAAAAAATTAAAAGATTCCAATAACCTTCCAAGCAGATGGGCTTAGAGGGTAGATCGTAGAGCGTAGAGCGTAGAGAGTAGAGCGTAGATGGGCTTAGAGTGTAGATAGAGATCGCAGAGCACAGAGCGAGTAGCTGATAGAACGTGGGGAGCTTAGATGGGCTTAGAGGGTAGATCGTAGAGCGTAGAGCAAGTAGCTGGTAGAACGTAGAGGGTAGAGCATAGATGGGCTTAGAGGGTAGATGGTAGATCGTAGAGCGTAGATCGAAGAGAGTAGCTGGTAGAACGTATAGCGTAGATGGACTTAGAGGGTAGATGGTTTGAAATCAAATGTTACGAAATTGGCAGGTAACCGTAGTAACAATACACAACTACGGTAAGAGCTATGAAGTAGGACGCAATGTATCTTTCCAACACGTAGGAGGAGACTGGTGACGAAAGCGTAGAGTCGTAGAGCTCTACAAAAATTTCTACGCCAAATCGAGCTTCATAAAACGGGTGCCAGTTGCTGTGACCCAGCAACACTGCCATTTTTCTTAATAACCTCCATTGGGCAGACACTTGAAGAGCTGGTATGAGTCAACTCTGTCACTCATATGAACACCAATACTCTGTTACAAACTCATGCCACTCATTATCTCGCTGTCCACTTTTTTTCTCTATTCTTTCTCCAAGATATGAAGTGCATTTTTGAAATGTACTGGGGTGCCAGTAGAATTTTTTTGTGGGGCTGTGACTGGGTAGATGTCCAAATCCTGCCACTTTCCAGACAAAAAGGTTAATTCAAAATAGCTCAAAAACCACACGCCTTGAGTGGCACCTAACTATATATAAATTAAACGAGATTGTTCTGGGAGATACACGTTTATAATAGTTGTAGGCTCTCTTTAACCTTGCAGAGTCTTGAAATGCTGTTAGATTTCTTCTTATTCCTCACTATGCACGAGATTGTTCATTATGCAAATGGTTTGTTTTTTTAAATTCCCATTCCACCCTCATCCCCCTCAATACTGGCTTGATTTTTGTCTGAGTTCTCACTTCTTCCCGCCTCTGGGCGCGCTTGGTCCCATAAGAACTTTAGTGTGTGTGTGAGAGAGAGAGAGCTCCTAGTGTGAAAATGTAACAGTTGCTGCATGTGGATTTTCCTTCTTTTGTCAGATCGTTGCTGTAGATGTCGATACATCAAGAATCACTGTTCAACTTCATCTAAGCGAAGAGGTTAGTAACTGATCTAAGTTGCAGTATCATATTTTTTGCCACATGGTTGTTATAGGCAGCTAATACCTTATTTATAAGCTTCAAATTATAGTATTCTTCTTTCCTTTTTAGTGCAGAGTGCACTACTGGCCAGGGACAGTTTAGGAGGCTGCTGTTCGCTGAGACATTTGCCTTGCGGGAAGGGGGGCTGGGTGGGGTAGGCACCCGAGTGCACTACGCAAAACGTGTTAAGCCTGGTTCTCATATGCTGCCGACATACCTGGGACATGGCCTGGGACACCGTTATGACACATGTGAACATCTATCGGGGAATCATAAAAAAAATTTGTCCCAGGCATTAACCGCCGGCTTGCCTGTGAAGTTGAGCTGAGTTAAACTTTGCAGGAAAGCTGGCAGTTGTCGGCGATTATCAGCGATGAAAATGTTTTATGTGAACATCATCTGTGGACGCAGCGTAGTACAGTAAGACGATTCTATCATATTTACAGTTGGAGTGGTCGAAAATTGCGCCAATTCAATTTGCATTTCGCGCCAATTAGATTACGTCGGCAATCCATCGCAGATGCGCTGAGGACCCACTAGAACAGATCGCCGAACATTGTCAGTTGCAACTAGCGACTACTTTGCAGGTAGGTCGGCGGGATATGAGAATCGGGCTTATACTTACGTTGCTCAGTTGAAAACACGACAAAACTATGTATATGTTATCGCAAATCTCATGCTATCCTTGTGGTGCTATTATCTTAGGAACAAAAGCAATTTGCTCTAAATGCATGTGCAGATTAGTTAGCGTCAGTGTCGACTACATGTAAGGTGAAAGACACATTTCATACGCTATCACACACAAATGTAGAGTGGTTTTCCTTGTGGCAGAACACGACATGTAAAACGCATGTGTTCTAGCATTGGCAGTGTGATAAACTCCATTCTCGAGTTCAGATCTGCACGTTTCTTTGAGTGATACCAGGGGCAGGGGATAGCAACTATATTTCAGGTAACATCAGTTATCCCTTTTTAGTGCAAAGACCGCTATTGTGATTGCATATCTTCTGGAATCACCCGAAAAATTCCATCTGCTCTGTTATAACTATTGTGTGTTTGCCAGGGTTCAAATAAAGAATGGAAACATATTGCTTCTCTTTAACGGCTTGTTTATTTCCTCTTCTATTAGGGGAGCAAAAAGTTGATATTCAGCCGAAACTTTTCCGCGTTAGTTACATGTAAAACTAGCAAATTTGTGACAAAAGAAACTTCGCAGTTATTGCCGCGGAGTCCATGGCACTTACTAAAACCTCCAATTTCATCAGTTGATGTGGCAACTCGCTCACTGATGTAGGATATAATTTCGGCCAAGTAACGATCTCTACCTTCAATTCTTCTCGTTGAAACGCTCCTCTGTTGTATTAATCGATAGCATCGTGTATTAGTTTGATATGAATAACAATGCACTATTCCGTGGCGCGACGTAACTATGTAATAATTAGATTAGTTCTTCTTTATCACTCTAATGAAAATTTGCATTTTCAATGAAACATCGTTCCTCTTCAAACTTTCATCAGATATTTAACTTTATTCCATTTATTTCCAGCAGTGAGTAAAAAAAATACATATATATTCATATATTTTCGAGGTAACGAGGGTATCATGTTGCATACCTTGGCGAGGAGAACAAAAGTATCAAGTTACAAATGTTGGCACGAGAAGTAAAATTATCACATTTTCTACTTCTATGTATTTTTTAATTTAAAATGAACGAAACTCACAGTAAAACACTACGATAAAATTCAAAACCGTCTTGACAAACAGTAATTGTAAGTTATCTTTGGTCCTTGGAAGAAATAACAAACATGAAACATACACACTGCTAAGATTATGCCTTATCATGTTTTTGTCCGCTCATATGTTGCAAAGGGGAAAAGGCCTAGTTGGCTACCAAGGGAGCGAACAGCAGGGGTGAGGGCCCGTGCAACTACTGCATCAGAGCCGTAAATTGCACTCTGTACTCTCTGAGATTCTCTCACTAGTTTTGGTAAAAGTACATGTTGATGTTGTTATTTTTCTATCCAATTTTGAAATTCACCCAGTGATAAGATAAGACTTAAAATAGCACTTAAAAGTTAGCTCTTGTGCCAAGTTTTAGTTGAAAGTTCTTCAAACAGTACTTTCAAAAGCTGCAGGGTTTTACAGATGATTTTGAGGTTGCAAAACCGTCTGTAGTTTTGAATTTGGATATAATTTCAAAATCTAACATTCAACGCATTTCTGCCATTATTACCACTGTTTCTGGATGTCAATGTAGTGTGCAAAAAACAAAGTTCTGTCATTTTCCTGATGTGTAAGCCAGTCTGGGGACACTCAATGGAAGATTGGAAGTCAACCTCCAAAAAAGGCCAATCTCAAATGCAACAAAACCCCACAAAACAGTACATTATAAAGAATTAAGGATGAAAGACGGAAGTGAAAGTACTGACTAGGAAGAAATACATACAGGACTTAAATCAGGGTTTAAAAAATAAAATACAAAAAAACACCCTGAGGTGGACCCTATGTAAAAAAAACTCCCTAAAATAAAATATGCATTTACAAGCTAATGCTGAGGTGCCGTTACAAATACAAATAAGTGCTAAAACTTTAAAATTTAGATTATAAAATACGTAAAAACGATTTCAAAGCTTTCTTAAACAGCTTCAGGTTACCGGCCTCTACAACATTTGCAGGTAAATCATTCCACTCGTGGACAATTTGAACGAAAAAAGAGTATTTTAACCAGTTGCAATTGCTACGCTTCACTTTGCACCAAGAGAAGATCGCTGTCAGTTTACCTTGATCTTCTCTTGATTGTACCTGAGTGATTGTTAAAAAGAATCATTCCAAAAGTTTCAAACATTTTCATTGTCTTTAATCCTTTCAGTCCCAAGTTTAAAATGTAAATTCTCTTTACTGACAGCCATACAGTTCTTTTAATATCAGTTCTGAGAATTTGGTGGACTGGTGCATCAAGATCTTATGATTTAGTCGATGATTTTCTTTATCCTTGTCATTTGGTAATTCATAATGTGTGGGTATTGTGATGAGAAATTAGATTTTGAGAGAGGAACTCATAAAGATTGTTGCTATATTTAAATGTTTTGCTAGGTATAAAGAGGAAAATTGTTGTTTCCTTTAATTTGTAGAACATCACTTTACACCAAGTTAATGCAAGACTCTTAGATGATGTTGAATATAAGATTTTATTGAGACAAGGTAAGAATGTTGTCTGATAATTGCCTCCTGCAGTTATTTTAAGTGGATACCGTCATTAGCTGTTACTGGATGGTGTTTTTATGATATCTAGAGAGAGGAGGTAAATGTTGTCAAATGGAGGCAAAGACTTGATAACACTCTCCAAAACCTTGATTAAACCGTAGATATCACAAGTATTGAGTGTAATATCATTTGTTGTATTTACATTGTTTTATGGACGGTGCCTACTAAATACAAATTAGGTTTTTGCGCCAGATTAGGACCATGTGGAAAAAGTAGATCTTTGCAAGGGGTATTGGAATCCACATTGAAAAACGGGTAGCCATGCATTTTTTCGAGATAATTAGCCTTGAATCTCAACAAAAATGCTGGCAGCATTTTTCTGAAAAAAGAAGGAAGATATTTCTTCACAGATTTCCTTAGAATTCGCCGTTACACACAGAAAAGCAAACACATTTTTAAAGATCTTAAGACTACATGGTAAATAATTACATAAAACCCATTTTTGGTATGTTTTTAATAACAAAATCGTTGCAACAACGTCTTAAGCGTCTCTGACAGCCTTCCTCTAGTCCAGCTAAAATACAGTCTCAATACCTTTTCTTAACAACTAGAAACTAATCACGTGTTGAATAGGCTTGTCACTTCCATTTCATAACATAAAATGTAGGGGTAGCCACACATTTTTAAAGTTGTTCATTTTTTTGAAAACTTTTACGGTGCCTGTTACTCTTTTTTTCTGTCACCTCCCCAGTAAGTAGAACATTTGCATCTTTTGCACTTGTTTTGTGCACACACTACGCCATCTCTAGGTATGTGGTTTACAGTTGGATTTCAGTATAATTTTTGACAGATAACAGCTAGTTTTTGAGCTGGAAGCCATTAGCAGTTAGTGGTTAGCGATACACTGCTTTTCTGGTGTTCCTGGTTTAATTACAGGTTCATTAACTTGATTTGGTAGGAAAATTTGCTTTTAGTTTAGTGGCATACATGGCAGCCTAGTTGATTATGTCAATACCAACTCTAGCGCGCACTTGGTGGTTAAACCATGCCTTGCATGATGGGTAACGTGTGCACACTAACAAAGGTAGGTACCGTCCTTAGCAAGATCACCAGCGGACCAAAATTACTTTCACTTGAAAGAGTCTTGGTTCTTTGGTTTACAATGCATCATTTCATTTTGTTTACTCTTTTTTTTAACCTTCCTTCAAATATTCTTAAATGCTATTCCTGTGGATTTCTTGTATTTTCTGCATGTTTGTTAGGTGCACTTTTTCTGCGTAAGTGGGTGGTCGCAAATGTGATAGTTGTCTTGGTAAACCCATCCCATTGGCCATGTGACTAGCCTCGTTATATGACATGATATCCAGGATCATCTGTATACAGAAAAGATTCTGTAGAAAGTGCGCGGTATAATTAACGATATAAATTGTGCTCGTTTTGTTATGGTTAAAAATATCCACTTCCAGTTGCTCTTTCTGTTTTAGTTTTCTAAGCAATTTTTTGCGCCTTTCTTTTTGCTCTTTTACACACTGTTTTCTGAAATCCTGATATTTTTGATCAGACAAAACAAAGGAAAATAGCCGCAAGTTAGAACAAGCTTGCAAGAGATCTAGAGATGATGATTGTGTAAGGTTAGTATCTTTTTGTTTGTTTGTTTTTTGTTGCTTTTTTTAGTCGCATCAATAGAATCAAAACACCTCTATATAAACTTTAAACTATAAACACGTCAATAAAATCTTTTTTAAGGTTTACAGTTTTTTTGGCGACGTTTCAACCATTTTACCACCTTGATGTGAAGAAAGACAGTAAAATGCTCGATTTCCCGCCGTACAATGTAGTGTTCAAGTCACCGAGAAAAGTTAAAAGACCTGTTTACTATTAAAAAGACAAAGCTTTGCAAGGCCGAGGAATGAGAGTCAAGACCTTTCAATGTGTCCACAGTTAATTTGCATTGTAATTAGCTACAAATTACAAATTTTTAATTAACTAGCTTCTTGCTCCAGTAGCGACAGTTTGTTAACATATACCCTTCGGCTGCAAGTTCAAGATTTGAATTTTCCTGCTGATTGTGACCAATTATTGTAGTTATTTGGTGCCTCCATTTCTCTTAATCCTGTTCCTGCTATCAATAAACTGGTTATACAGTAATTTTGTATACAAGACATGTTATTTTATCTCGAATTTAGCTTAGAAGTGGCTAAGTAGCTTGTGAACCTAGTAGCACAATCATACGATAGCTAGAATAATAGTGTTTCTACTGAAATACTAAAATTGGTTGGTGATTTCCTTGGTTTATGTCAGTGAAACACAGCCCAACGTTAGTAAACATTCTAAAGTGGACAAAGGTGATGACAAAAGTAAATCCAGTTCACACAAGGAAGGTAAAACTCCTGCAAAATGCTGGCTGTATCCACAAACCAAAGTTAGGATCATCAGCAAGGATTTCAAGAAAGGCAAATATTATAACAAGAAGGTAAGACTGTGCTTTATCCTATCAGAACAAACATGCTGTGTTTCAACCAACCAGGAACAGCATCCAGCTCAGTCGTGGCCTAGTTTACGCACTCAGCATCGGCCAGTTGTCATTTCGCTTTGAAACCGTCATTTGCGTGTGCTGTGATTGGTTAGATAACATCACTACCCACCCTACAAACAGTTCCCTTCGGAGTCGTCATGGGAAAGAAAATAGGTTGGATGTAAACAATTCCAGCCCATTCAGGCTAAACACAGTTCGGAGAGGATAGAAGTAAGCTCATCTTAAACCTGAAGAGAAAGAAATTAATTACCTTCCATGTAGATATGTTTGTTGGATAATAACTGAATATAGTTATTTTTTTTGAAGGTGCAAGTTGTTGATGTGGTTAGTAGAGACAGATGCATCTGTCAAACAGAGGAAGGAAGACTTCTCGAAGGTGGGAAACTTAGCTGTTTTTTGCACATATTCTTGCTGAGTCATTTGACGGGTGATCAATATTCAGGAAAAAACTAAGGCCGGTTCTATTTGATCAGAGAAAACTACACGTAAAAGAACTTTGGAGGAGTCCCTCTTGATAAAGTGCTATTGTGACGCTTTCGAGTGGTATACTATGGAATATCTCATGAGTTAATTGTATGTTCTCAATATACACGCAAACTTTAAGAGGAGTGTGTTTACTGAGAAATTCAAGTGACGCAGGGATATCCCATGGTATACCACGCAGAAGTGTCATAACTATATTTCATACCATGTCATAGAAAATACAGCCAGTCAAAACACAAAAAGCCATTGTACTAGTACTCAACGGTATGACACCTTACATTATCCCAAGACAACACAAGTGACTCGTGGTATTTCATGGTATACCACTTGAAAGCGTTCTGTAACAAATGTGTATCAAATTCTTATCAGACCACGGTTTGGCTTTGATGTAAATGTCAAACCTGAAGAGTTTCAATTTCGTGAGCTCAATTGCTGGTGTCAGTTATCATGTATGAGTTTTAGATGCCTCCACTACAGAAGGTTAGCACCTGTTTCGGAGTTTGTCTTTGATAGGCAGAATTATTTTTCCAGATAGTGTAGGTCGGAAATGCAAACAAAATGGGATTCATTCCTGATCGAGAGCGTAAGTTATTTTGCAGTCTTTTACAGCTGAGCCAAGCTTTGTTCAGTTGTAACACTGCCGACTTTTGGAGCAAAATGTTTTCACCTATTCTGCGCTGCAACGAGTTCAGTCTCTTCTAATAGACGAGCAAAATCAGTTCCATTTAGTAGTGTGTCCACATCTGACAAATGTAAAGTTCCTTTATTCTCCATGCAAAAATAAAGTTTGTGTTTGTACTATTGGCTATTTTGAAATACAAGTCGAGTCTTAATATTTGCATTCGACAAAACGCAGTTCTAATTGGGTAATGGAGGAGAATCGAGTTTTCTTGTATGTATTTTTCTGTGGACATCAATTTGGTCCCCCCAAAGAATTCTTCAGGGGCGAATGACGTCATCATTTTCATCCATGTGCTATCTTTTGCGTGTTGTGTAAAATTGCAGACTTTCGAGTGTTGAGGCAGCTTATTGTCGACTGTAGCAGACAAGTTGTTTATTTAAAGTTTGAAGTCTGTTGATGGCATTTAAAAACCTTGCAGACATGTCTTCACGAAATGTTAATTGTTAATAATTGTCTTAGTTTTGGTAATGAAAGCACGTCGTCTTGCATACCGACGGAACAGGCATCGTTTGTATCAATTTACACGGTCCAGAATCGTAGGTTTCCGGTCAGTATAAAATATGGAATGCGGACTGCGGACTGTGAACTATGGACTGGGTATAAAACACGGACTGAGGTATAAAACGCGGACTTATCATTATGGACTGGGTATAAAACATTGTCTCATGTATAAAACGCGGACTGCGGACTAAATGCGGCCTACCGACTATGGTCCATGTTTTATACTGACCGGTCGTAACTAATATTATGTAATACATGTTCAAATGAGAACAATGTCCACCTAACAGTTCAGGCACAAGATGCTGTTCCCAGAATTTTTGCTTTACCTACCAATGCTCGAACGCAGTCTTTAATCTACGATTGCTACTAGTTTGTTTGTTCATTTATCCGTCTGTTCAGAGGTACCACAATCAGCATTGGAAACAGTTGTACCCAAGACTCTAGACACCCATGTACGAGTGGTCAGCGGTCAGCACAGAGGACAAGTTAGTAGCTGTTTCCTTTACCTTTCCGTTTTTTCATTACACCTTGATGTTTTCAATAGATAGGTTTTCTATCTTATATTTCGTTTGAAGCATCTTTTCAACAGTACGTGTTCAGGGAAACAAATACCATTTTATTTTAGTTTGGGTAATTCGTCTCCCTGAATATTTTGGAACAATAATACTTTTAAAAGTCACCTGTCTGGTTGGCTATGTGTTGATATTGAAGGGAGAATGTGCGAGTTCATTACTAACGTTCAGCACACAGTAGAGGACATGTTGCAGTGACAGTTTTCCAGTTTTTGCGAAAAACATCTGTTGCGGGGACAAAATTTTGTCCCCGCAAGACTTTGTATGAATCCTGTTGGTTTGAATTTGGACAAATTGACCTCAGTTTTCAATATTGCATCGTGTGCACTGCTCTTGCAAGCTGTGCTCGCTACAACATAGAAATGAACCAATACCCAATTTGAGCGCACCAGCTTGCGTACTTTCCCTATAATATGCCTCGTACACGTACACACGAAGGGGCTTGTCCCCACTTCACGTCCCCTCAGCACGTTGCCTGGTGTATGCCGACTTAAATGGAAATGAAAGACTTGTCTGATTATGTTATTTTTCCAAATCAAGCTTGCTGTGTTATTGAAGCGGGATACTTCAAAGTCCAGTGCTGTTATTCAACTTTTGTTGGACAAGAACGTAATAACTGCGGATTATGATGACATTTGTGAACATGTTGGTGGTGCGAATGATTTCTAAACCTAACAGTAGTGGCTAAACAGCCATCAACCTGGCTTGCTTGGCAATGGAGCTACTACTCATGCCTGACACACCCAGATGAGAGCAGGCCTCCTTCGAGGGCATTGTTTAGAGACTTGTTGATTTCTAATGACAACGTACAACTATCAATAGGAGAGTCATTTGATACTACACTGGAGACAAAAAACATGAAGCTGATGGCCAGCATGAGAAGTTACAGTTGAGATTAGCCTCGTACTTGACAGCGCGTAGTGTCACGTTTTTTAGCCTATTACAGTGTGCTTTAAACTAAGACCACAGAATTTCGTGAGAACTGCACTCTTGTGATTCATCTGTAGACTAGCAATTGTATCCGTCGAAAATTGAGTGAAAAAGAACATTACGAGACAAGAACGTTGTGTGACGTGGCATATTGTGTGAGGAGACTTGTCAAGAGACTTTCCAAGTTCAGCGTCAAAGCTCTCCTCAAGCTTTGTACATTTTCTGGTACTGGTTTGTGAGAATTTGATTTCAAGTCGGGAAATTCTTTCTGGGATTATCTATGTAGTCCTTTATTCTCGTTAGCTGCTTGCTTTAAAGTGGAGACAATCGTCCTCCTTTACTGCTGGGGTGGAAGTGTCTCAAAGGAGGACCCTCTCTGTTGTTAAGGCTGTTCGCGCGCAAAATTTTCCGGTCGATAGATTTTTTAAATTTTTAAGGCAGTCAGAAAATGAGTTACTTGTGTCAGAAATGCAAAGAAAATTGGGGGTCACTGTCTTTTCAGAAAAATTGGCGTTCATAATTCAGCATGGTCTACAGGGGTTTATAGTTAAAAATATTGGAGGTGAGGCAAATGAATCATATTTTGTAGAAGTGGGTCTGTTGCTTAAATAATTCCAAATTTTACCAATGTCTTCACAAAACTTAACCCTTCAAGAGGCGTTTGAAACCGTCGCACAGATAAACGAAGAGCTAGAAAGAATGGAATTCGATGGTGCATTTTGCAAAAAATTCAAATTTCTAGTCGATAGATTTTCTTCATTTTTTCGCTAAACGTCGAAAATCAGTAGAGAAAATGATCCATCAAAAGAAAAATAGGGGTCACCAAACGTCCAAGATCATTAAATCTAGGCAAAGCTATGGCAATGGTCATGTGCCCTATAATTGATCATTTTATTACTTAGCACGCTGTCTCATGCATGACATGGCGACTAAATTTGCGCGCGCAGTAAGAATGCTCAGAAACAATTAGCGCAAACTTCCTTAAGTTAAGGAAGGGGGTCCTTCTTAACCACAGATTTACAGCAGTTGCTGAGGGATTGCTGAAGGTGATGTTTAGTGGAAAGCTATTTTGGAGTGTTGCAGTACTAAATGGAGTAGATGGTGAATTTTACATAACGGAACGTTTGCTTTGAAAAAAACATAGGCAGGCGAGGCGTGCGAAAACCCCTGAAGGTAGCAACACTCAGTGGACTACTAACATTTATGATAAGGTTAATCCAGCAAGTTTGTTTGGTTACAATGTACAGCGAAAAAAATAGGAAACCTTACGAAATGTGACATCAAGCCTACTTTTATCATGGTTTGACTTTAACAATGGATCAGTGCCTTTGTTTATTAGAACTACATGGAACTGTACAGGCCTGCAAATGATCCCCATTTTGGACTGGAAAATATCCCCAGATTGTACCTACCGTAAATGATCCCCTGACTGCATACGGTCGCCTCACAATAAAGGGTGGAAATGTATGGACTCAGGAATTTGGAATTTAGATTCTTGTATTACTGTGAAACTCAGAAAACCATGAACACTTTGATTTAATTCTGACGGGTCAATTGTGTACTGAAGCATCACAATAAAGTTTAGTACGTGCGAAAACCTCAAAACCACAACCAATACCACTGCTGTTTGTGGTTAATTTTTTCACTCTTAATTGACTTTTTCCATGCTATAAAATAATATTCCATAAATATATTTCTGGTTTTCTCATTTTTCTGAGTTTCACGGTAATAATACAATATTTTGATACAACAGTTACTATATGTAACGCAAGCAAAATGTACAGAATGAACGATTTGAATGCAACCAAATCAAACTCACACAAACATAATTGGACAATCGAACTAAATTGAACGTTTGATTCTGAACTCTTGATTTTTTGTAAAACTTCTGTTGAAAATCGATAACAATTTTTCGAGGCTCGAGTTACTTCAGTATAACTTGTGTTTTTTGTGTTTTCTAGACCACACAACATAATCTTTTAAAATAAAGTGTATTATCGTTTGTCTCACGATGTAGTCACTTGAGATGTAGATCGCGACGTTTCGACTGCTTACTGCTAGTCTTCTTCAGGCGATAAGGTCGACTGATTGCACGGTATCATTTATATCACAAAGGTCGAGTGTGATTGGTGCATTTCATTGGTGCATATCCCTCCTCTTTTGTACAGAAGATCACAAAGGCACGAACAACCCCAAGAAGAGAGCCTGCCGCGGAATTTAAATCCACCGCCGTTTTACCTTATGTCCAAGGAGTTTCGGAGTCTCTCCGCCGCTGCCTAGAACAACAAGGCATTCGCACCGTCTTT